AAGCAACAGCAACTGTATTCTTAAAATTTCAAGACAATTCCTGAATATCCTAACACCTGTAAATAATATCCTTGTATTTACATTAGGCAGTAAAGAACAACTTAACACTGATTTGTATATTTAAACAATAATGAAGCTTGTGTTACATAATATACCAGGCTTCACTGAATGCAAATATCATGAAGGCATGAACTTCAAAACAAACAGCAGTTGAAGACAAAGGTTTTCATTAATCTTAAAGTGACAGATAAAGATAAGCCTACTGAATTTTCTGCAGCAGGCTAGATAATTAATCCCAAGGGATTAATTGTACCTCTCTCATTATTTTCTTCTAAAGTTACAATAAGAACTTTTTCAGTACTAATAATAGAATGGGGGTTTTATCCAACTACCTTAAAAATTAATAATATTCTTGAATTTACAAAAAGGGAAAAAAAGTAAAAATAAAAAATATATCTTTCATGTATTTCTTGTTTTTAGAGTTCAATGAAATTCACTGCGTAGGGTATTTTAATCAAAATTAAGAATAAACATTTATATTTAAATCCACATTTCAGAGTGTTCATAGCATTCCAAATTGACTTAACTTCAAAACAAACTTCATTTGCAGACAGAGGTGGTCATTAATCTCAATGTGACAGATAAAGATAATGCTTTGGATTTTCTTCTGGAGGAAAGCTAATTAATCCCAAGGGATTCATAGCAGCATTCAGTTTACAATGGGAACACTTTCAGCAGTTATCTCTCTTTGCCAATGCATTCTTATATAAAGTTAAGGAATCTACCCCACCACCCCAGCTCCAAACCAGGGGACATAGAGAAACAAACTTAGCATAAAAATATGTCTTTCTGCCTATTGAACTACCATACCAAATTTGATCTTAATTGGGCAACCACAAAAAAGTTATTAGGAAAAAACAGAAAATTTGTGGACGGAAGAATGACGGACGGACAGACAGACAGGGTGATTACTATAGGGCACCCGCAAATCCTTGTGGGGCCCTAATAATGATTCTGTGAAAGTCTCATCAAATTTCATTTAGTGGTATGAGAAGAGTTGCAGATAAGAGATGGGTACACCAAAGCGTAACAGACGGATGGACAGATGGACGTACAAACATCCTGATTACCATATACCCTCCCGCTTTTCAGGCAGGGGTATAATCATATCAATATAGTAAGCTTTGTACAAAATATAACTAACATCTCTAGATCTATAATTTTTCCTAATATTTTGTAGAGTTTTTTTCTCAAGAGAATTCATTGACTACTGACCTTGCAGAAGGTCATGGACATGTGTCCCTAGCAGACATTGGACGTCTACCATTGTGTCGTGTTGAACAGCCTTCAAGGCATCCTGAAGATATTTGACCTCCTGAAAAAAATATACAGTCCATTAGTGGTCACAGCATACAGTTTTACACTCCTATAAACCAATGAATACACACAGTTCTCAAACAGTTCAAGAAAGTGTTAACTTAAGTATTAGCTAAAGCCCATATCAAAAATGACTCCTGCATTAGGAAACTAACAGTAACTTTACCTGCTCTTTGGAATAAAGAAGAGTATGATGGACTCTCAGCAGATTTTCATAATACATAGTGTAGCTGAAAGAGAAAAAACATAAATACAAAAATGAATAAAATTTCTAAAAAATTCAAAATACTTAGCCTGTTAAAAATTTCAAAAAAGCCCAGTAATTTTCTAATTCAAAGTACCCTTCTACAATGTTTTCATTGATTAAAATTTAAATTTACAGAAGAACTGACCATCTTCTACCATAAGAACAGCGTACCTGTCAAAGTTATGCCTTTCCCTCGTCATGATGTTCCTCGCCAGCTCACTTACACACTCATTCAGGTCGTCATGGCGGATGGTGAAATCTCCAGATTCTGTCTCGTTCATCTTCTTCTTGAGTTTCGTGACAAAATCTTCCGCAATCAGTGGTTTGGCGAGGGTAAAACTCTCCTTCATAACCTGCTCAGGTGATCAAAAAAATTTTATGCCAAAATTGATCAAGTCGCAGTTTTTGACCTGTTGAGGTGGTGCCTGAGAAACTATTGATTAATTTTTTTTACCTTATGAAAAAGATCATGCATACATAAATCTTCATGAAAGTATGTTAATTAACAAATATTTAATTTACAGGTCTCTTCCACAGATCAGTTGCTAGGTTGCTCTCCACTCGCACTCTCTCAGCTGTTGCTAGAGTTGCTTCTTTATCAATCTTCTTACGAATTTCTGTGATCATGTGGCACTCAAACGTCTCCAACAACTTCACAAGCTGTAATGTAAAATTAAATCTATATTCTGTAAGACAATAGGTAATAATGTAAGAAAATAAACAAAATAATGAAAACATGATTTCAACAAAGAATTTCAGTGCAAAACAGCTATCCTAAATCAAATAATAAATCTTTTCTATACAAGTTAGTTTTTACCTGTTTGGATCTGATTTCAATCTCAGAAGCACCTTTAGGCATGACAAGAGGGTCTGTTTCCATGGCAATGCCCTCATACAATTCACCTTGACCCAGTCTCCTAGCAACACTTTGTAGGACTGGTAATAGCACCTCAGTTTTGTAAACTTTGCTGAAAAAAAAAATCAAAAATAAATCAGATATTCAAGGATATGAAAATGAACATAACCAATAGCTAATACTATTGAAATATTTTACAAGTAAGCTCAATCATTTGATCTTGGTTTTAAATACTGTGAGCCCTAAATTTACAAGTAGCCTAACATTCATCTTACGCATGTCATCTAACATGTTTGACAGATACATGGACATGGGAATAAATTATAGGGCACCATCATTCTGATGTGGGGCCCTAAGTAGAATTAAAAGTGCTTCCACTTGCACACAAAAATCTCATCTTTTTAAACAGTCCATCCTATCGTATACATGTAGATTTGGTCAATTTGTGTCATGCTTATACTTACCAGTATTCTTTGAAGAGGGAGGGTCTATTGATTTCCTCCACAAACAGCTTTCTCTTGCCCCAGGAGTATTTAGCATGCTCCAGGCACTTCCAAAGGATGAGGAAGAACTTGAGGAGTTTGTAGGCTTCCACTGGCTCCTTGGTCCGAGACAAGCTCTTAGGGCTCTCTGAAATGTGTATAATTTTTTATCAATAAAGAGGGGATAAACTAGACACAATACTTAGCAACATCAAATAAAAATGTTAAAAATTTCGCACATGCAGGGATCTAACTTATATTGAAACATGCATTAAAAAATCTGCATTTTTACTGTAAATTAAGAAATCATCCTTATCACAGGATGCATTAATTATTTCTTGTAGAACTTTAACCCATAACTACAAAGTAACTACTGATATATATAATGTAATGCTGCACTATAGCGTACAGAAAACAATCAGTACTAAACATTTAGTATTCTACCTATATATGACCACAAAAGGAATGAAAATGCTATATAATCTAAAGCAAAGGCTTAATTTTTGTAACTATTGAGGAGAAGATTAATAAGTTTCTGAGTACATGTACTACTTGTAAATATGAGAGAGAGCATGTTTTATAACGTTAAAAAAATGTTGTCATATATACCGATACATTTCAGAATCAGATTTCACAAACAAAAATGAATTTCAATTCAAAATCAAATAAAAATGCAAAATATCAAGGAAAAGCTGAATAAAATGTGAAGTTCCAAACAGGAGATATTGTCGTTGAAATTCCTTCACCAAGCTAGAGTTACTGCCCTTAGTCTCTAATCAGTTTGGTTTGATTAACACAATTAATTAGTGATACCTCCTTTTCTGTGGATATGTTTTCTAAACTCAACCACAGCAGTTAAAGCTGTCCAACCTATGGTTGTCAGGAATTTATGAAGCAAGGTAGCAAACAATGAATTACAAACGACAATTTACAAATAGATCAATCTTCCAAAGGAAATATGACATTGTATAGATAGCTCATGATTTCATTATTAAATTAAGGCATCTAAATATGATTAAAATCTTCATTAAAGATTTTTTTATGGATAAAAAAATACTAAGTGACTATATAAACTGGTAAAAAATTAATGTACTAAAACATTACAAAGATATTGGGTGTAAAATTATCAAGGATTAATTTTGCAATTTTTCAACAAAGGAAAATTGGGGTTGTCCCAAAAAGTCGTTGACAAGGAAAACAGCCAAGTTTCTCTTTGTTTAATTAAATTTCTTTACTTGTCATAGCAAAAAGTAACATTTTATGATCATGCATTTCAAGTTTCATGACGATTTCACATTTAATAAGAACCAGAAGTCTCTGTCAAGACTGAAGTTCTTCTGGTTTGTACTAAAGCAGTTGGGAATTGAAACTTTACAACAGTCATAAATAGTATAATGATCCTTGATAAAGTCTCTTTATGTTCTTAATGTAGTCTACTTGTGTGCCAAGTTATATTGAAATCAGACCAAAACTGTAGGAGGAGTAGCATTTTGAAACAATTTTACAGAAATTTCTATTTTTAGTAACCACGGCAACACCATTCATTGGAATCAAAAACCGATACACAGAATTATGTATCTTAGTGTAATCTACTTGTATGCCAAGTTATATTGAAATCAGACCAAAACTGTAGGAGGAGTACCATTTGAAAGAATTTCACAGAAATTTCTATTTTTAGTAACCACCGCAACATCATTCATCGAAATCAAAAACCGATATACAGAATTATGTATCTTAGTGTAGTCTACTTGTATGCCAAGTAAATTGAAATCAGACAAAACTGTAGGAGGAGTAGCATTTTGAAACAATTTTACAGAAATTTCTATTTTTAGTAACCATGGCAACACCGTTCATCGAAATCAAAAACTGATAAACAGAATTACGTATCTTAGTGTAGTCTACTTGTATGCCAAGTTATATTGAAATTAGACCAAAACTGTAGGAGGAGTAGCATTTAGAAAAATTGTTTACAGACAGACAATCAGACAGCTGGACGCCGGACACATTACTATCACATAAGCTCTTCTGGTCTCTGACCAGTAGCGCTAAAACCAGACACCTAAAGACCTTTTGCAATGCTTGGACATACATATACCACTACCTTATTCCTATGAACATGCTCTTCTGTTTATTCATTCTTTCACCATTTCTCACCCCCTTTCTTTCTCTCTTTCTTTCTTTTTCTTTCCCCCTCTCAGTAGTCACTATATTTTTTTTGGTATTTATTTATGTATGTATTCATGATGTATTGATGTTAATAAGATATCATAAACATGTATAATGTGACAATTGATATTAATTAAAAACCAAAAAAAAAAAAGAAAAATTAAATAAAAAATAAAGAAAGAATGTAAGTGTACACCGGCACACGAAAGCAAGCGTAAAATTACGTCTCTTTTAACGTCATGATCTCTTTGTCTGCTTCACTCTCGTCTATTAACATTCAATATTTTTTCTAAAGTGGTAGACCACTCTTGACTAAGGGACTTATTTAAATTCACGACTGTCCGATTGTTTTTTATTTGATTTTTAAAGCAGATTCAAATTTTAGTCTAAATTTAGTAAAAAGATCGCCTTACATTATAGGCAGCTGAGAATAAACGTTGTTTGACATCGTTCCGGCCAAGAATGTTCCCATTGTCTGCATTTAACAAACAGTACTCTACTTCTTACATCTCATAACTATTTTTGGTATAGAGGAAAAACTCTAATTGAATATCGTGCCATTTAAATAAAACTTCTTTTTTTACAATCTGGTGTGTAATATCACTTTACTCTTTTTTCCCATCTCTGATGTATATAAACCATATCCAACACAATTAATAACATCTCCGTGCGCCGGTTACTTGTTTGACGACGTCATTTTCATCAAACTCAATTCCAACGATACTATGAAAATCAAGACACCAATCGTCTGTTTCTAATGCTATTTTTATGAAATTTTAACATTTTATTAAGATTTTAATTCTGGTTTCAGTGATTTAAATTTGAGTTCAATGTATTACATAGTACTAAAGAAATAAAAGCAAATGTAATAGTTATATTAGTTCATTATTCCGAATTTTGTTCGTGCGCCGACAGGCCTTATAAGTCTTCATATAAATCGTCCTAATATTAATAAAATGTAAGATAATATATATTTAAAAATTCACAATTATGAAGTACATTAAATATATTATATCTATGCAAAATTTGGTTAGTACTGTTTGCAGGTTTTAAAATTTATAAACATTGTCTACGACTTTTTGGGACAACCCTTGTATATGTCAGAAACATACATATACATGACATGCACTGCTTCATACAAATCTAATAAATGAACAAAGATCTAAATTTAATGCTTTACACATCTACTATTAGCAAACATGCAACACACTACTTTCACAAGAAATTATTCATGCAAGACAATACAAAATTTTACATTTTTCAGGTATATAAAACACAATTTATCTTGCAATAAAATTACAAAAAAAGTTTCAAAGCACTATCTGGATTATTTCTTAGGCCCTTCCCTTCCCTACCTGCTTTGGAGGAAATGCTGCCTGTGGGTGTCTGTATGTCCAGCCTGCTCGCCCCTCTGGACGTTGTCACTGAGCCTTCTTTCTTCTCAGATCTCGCTGTATCGAGATCGTCAGAATCACTGAGATGTGAGATATCCTGATAGCCCGTCTGTAAGACATCCTCCATCAACAAACTCACCCCAAGTATCTCACCATTAGCAACATGTCTAAAAATAAAGTGGAGCTAGATTACGTACCACACATTGTCAGAAACATAATCACCTTTAATTTGTGTGGCACTAGACTTAATTTTCATGTTGTCAACATTGTATGATTTAATCTTATATATTCATAGAATATACAAGTTCATTTCCTCAAACACCTGTTAGAGTAGAAAGCAGTAAATCTGTATTTTTAAACATTATACATATTTTTACGCATTTAAACAAACTGTCTGAATACTAAACCTGTCGACATCCTTGAGTCCAGAGAGACACAACTGTATGTAGTGCTCTATCATGTGCCACTGGTAATACATCAGGGGGTATGGACCATTCCTAGCAAAGTCAACACAGGTTTGTACATGTAATAGTAAACTGTACATACTGAACATATATTATTGTACTGAAAATAAACACTTCATTATCTAATTGGAATATGTTTGCTTCTTATTTAAATTTTATCTTAATCATTATGGTAGAAAATCAAAAAAATACTATAGTAGTATTAAAAATGGTTGAAACTTTTCCCCTCTTAACAGATTTTTTTCCCTTGCTTTATTTCACTTACTAGATTATAGAATATCCATATTTTACCTTCCCAGGAAGGATCTCCATGGAAACAGTTCCCGGGCCTGGAAGTCTCGTGGTTCCAGCGGTTCAGGTACAGTTAGACACATGGCTTGTAGCGTGGGTCTCTGAACATTACTCAGGTTCGGTAGCGCATGGTATATGTTGTTTTTCAAGGACTACAATATCACAGAGTTCAGTGAAAGCAAAAACAATATGCTGCAGTCAAATGTACAGCTCAACGCACTTTCTAAGCTCACATGGTTTTTCGCACAAATTAAGGTCACTTTCTTTTTTGCAATAAAATGAACATCATTGAACCTTAATACGAGATGTCACATAGCCCTAATATGTATTTAACATCTCATGTTAAAGGTACATATTCTTTAAATTCATAATCTTAACAAGAGGCCCATGGGCCACATCGCTCACCTGAGCACTGTGGCTAGGAAAAAGCAGAATTGGTTTATACTTGAAAAGCTTAAATCCAAAAGTAGTCCCATGACCAATCATGGCTTTGCTATTCTTGAGAAGAAGATTTTTAAAGAATTTTCCTATACATTTCTATGTAAAACTTTGGTCGGCCATTTTGGCCCCGCCCTACCCCTGGGGGTCATGATTTGAACAAACTTGAATCTACACTACCTGAGGATGCTTCCATATAAATATGATCAATTATGGCTTTATTATTCTTGAGAAGAAGATTTTTAAAGAATTTTCCTATACATTTCTATGTAAAACTTTGGTCGGCCATTTTGGCCCCGCCCTACCCCCGGGGGTCATGATTTGAACAAACTTGAATCTACACTACCTGAGGATGTTTCCCCATAAGTTTCATCTTTCCTGGCACAGTGGTTTTTGAGAAGAAGATTTTTAAAACATGCTACCAAATTTTCATTAATTCCCAATTATCTCCCCTTGAATGAGGGCGTGGCCCTTCATTTGAACAAACTTGAATCCCCTTCACCCAAGGATACTTTGTGGCAAGTTTGGTTGAAATTGGCCCAGTGGTTTTTGAGAAGAAGTCGAAAATGTGAAAAGTTTACAGACAGACGGACATACAGACAGATGGACAGCTAGACGGACAGACGGACGCCGGACAAAATGTGATCAGAAAAGCTCACTTTAGCCTTCGGCTCAGGTGAGCTAATAAAGTTTTAAAGTAGATGTTTTAAATGGGGATTTTATTGATAAATGATATGATGTTACATCTTTATGATTTCACAATACATATTTACAAATTAAAATTACCCAGCTTTCTTTGATACTCAAATTTAGTTGAATTTTTCAAATTGTCATCTTAAAGGTGAGAATTTTTCAAACTACTGTGCACACATTCCATACTCTTTGTGATTTTGTCGAAATGTAGCACCGAAAAATGACAATGCGGCATAAAGAAATCATGCCAAAATACAGGATAAAAAGTATCGTTCATCTTTTAAAATAGTAAATTGTTACCATTGAAAAAATAATTCTTTTACATTTACGGTCTGAAACTTTAGAATATTGCGGTCAGATCCATCTTTCATGATGCTAGATTCAGAAAGTAACCGTTAACAAGATGCCCAGGAGCAACATCCCTCACCTGAGCAATTGGCTAGGAAAAAGCACATATAAGATCAGAACTGAAAGTTTACTGAGGGGGGGGGTGTTGAATTTTAACCCCCAGGGGGTCATGATTTGAACAAACTAGAATCTACACTACCTGAGGTTGATTCCCTATAAATATCACTAAGCATGGCTTTGAAGTACTTGAAAAGATTTTAAAAGGTTACCGTATATATTCCTATGTAAAATTTTTATCAGCCATTTGGCCCCACCCTACCCCCGGGGGGTCATGATTTGAACAAACTTGAATCTACACTACCTGGGGATGATTCCACAGGAGTTTCATCTTTCCAGGTCCAGTGGTTCTTGAAAAGAAGATTTTTAAAGATTTTCCCTATATATTCCTATGTAAAACTTTGATCGGCCATTTTGGCCTCACCCTAGCCTCGGGGGTCATGATTTGAACAAACTTGTATCTACACTTAGTATACATGATGAAGGTGAACCATGATGAGTTTGTTCACCTCCCTTTGATACTAACCTTTAAGTCTAACTGAAGATGATTGCACATGGGTTTCATCTTTCCTGGCCCAGTGAGTCTTGAGAAGAAGATTTTTAAAGATTTTTCCTATACATTCCTATGTAAAAATTTAATCAGCCATTATGGCCCCACCCTACCCCCCGAATGTTATGATTTGAACATACTTGAATCTACACTACCTGAGGATGATTCCACATGAGTTTCATCTTTCCTGGCCCAGTGGTTCTTGAGAAGAAGATTTTTTAAAAATTCCATTATTTTTTCTCTAATTCATAATTATTTCCCCTTGGAGTGTGGCCCTTCATTTGAACAAACTTGAATCCCCTTTACCCAAACATACTTTGTAGCAAGTTTGGTTGAAATTGGTCCAGTGGTTCTTGAGAAGAAGATGAAAATGTGATAAGTTTAAGACAACAACGACTACGATAACAACGACAGACAACGGACAAATTTTGATCAGAAAGGCTCACTTGAGCCTTCCACTCAGGTGAGCTAAAAATGCCAGTTTTTAACATGAAAAGCAGTCGAACAAATGAGAAATGCTATTACCATCTTGCGCTCAATAGAGGAATGTTATTGCATAGAAATTTAAGGAGGCTGGGGGGTTAACAAATTAACAAAAAAAAATAACCACCAGATATAACTTAAATTTCTAGATATGATATCTTTAGCTGTCAACTATCATTTGGCAAAGAAAAATTTCATACATATTAGTTTTAAAATTTGATCATTTTTGTATATCATTATATGAAGCTCTTCTTCTTAAGGAGATAGAAATAGTCTAAAAATGGCCACGACCACCCAGCCTCTTTAAATGTTACATGATTTGCACTGTTTATAAGTCAATGCAAGGCAAAGAACTGTGTGTGTTTTTAAACAAGAGGCCCAAGGGTCTTGAATCGCTCTTCTGATACATTGTACAATCTATCACTTCTATTAGAAGCCTCCAACTCTATTAGAATCATAAGACCCAAAATGCATCAACTTACAAAGTTTGATAATATTTAGCCACTTAAGACTGAAGATATTATAATATAATTATAAAATACCATAAGTAGGTCACAGTGACCTACCTTTTGATTGAAATTTTCTAAGGACTCAAGATACATTAAATGACAAAGACTGATGATTATAATTAAATAAGTATCTGAGATATTCAAAAGTAGGTCACCTTGACCTACTTTTTGGTCAACATTCTCTGAAAACCCAAGATGCATCATCTGACAAAGTTTGACGACTCTAAGCCAATTACTACCAGAGATAATTAAATATAGCCATCAAATGTCAAAAGTAGGTCATGGTGTCCTACTTTTTGGTCGACGTTATTCAAAAACCCATAATGCCTAAATTGACTAAACTTGATGATTCTAAGCCAATACGTAACTGAGATATTCAAAATTAGGTCATCGTGACCTACTTCTTGTTGGACATTCCATGAAATCCTAAGATGCCTCAACTGACAAAGTTTAATAATTCCGAGCCAATAAGTACCAGATATAATTAAATATAGCCATAAAATGTCGAAAGTAGGTCACAGTGACCCACTTTTTGGTTGACATTCTCCGAAAACCCAAGGTGCCTAAACTGACAAAGTTTGATGATTCTAAGCTTATACATACCTGAGATATTTGAAAGTAGGTCACTGTGACCTATTTTTTGGTCGACATTCTCCGAAAACCCAAGATGTCTCAACTGACAAAGTTTGATGATTCTTAGCCAATAAGTGCCTGAGATACTTAAACATAGCCATAAAATGTCAAAAGTAGGTCATTGTGACCTACTTTTTGGTCGACGTTCTCCGAAAACCCAAGATGCATCAACTGACAAAGTTTTTGATGATTTTAGGTCAATAAGTACCAGAGATACTTAATTATAGTCACAAAATGTCAAAAGTAGGTCATGGTCACTCTCCGAAAACCCAAGATGCATCAACTCACAAAGTTTGATGATTCTAAGCCAATAAGTACCGGAGATACTTAAATAAAGCCATAAAATGTCAAAAGTAGGTCACGACCTACTTTTAGGTCGTCACTCTCCGAAAACCAAATATGCATGGACTCACAAAGTTTGATGATTCTAAGCCAATAAATACCTAAGATACTTAAATATAGCCATAAAATGTCGAAAGTAGGTCATCGTGACCTACATTTTGGTCAACATTTTTCAAAGACCCAAGATGCATCTACTGACCAAGTTTGATGATTATAGGTCTGAAGGTAATCAAAATATGCATTTTAAACAATTTGAAAACAAATGTCGGCAAAATTCAAAAAGTAGGTCACAGTGACCTACTTTTTCATAAATATGTTTTAAGGTCCCAAGATGCATCAAAGTACAAGATTTGATGATTCTAAACCTCCCAGTGTCTGAAATAATGGGATTTAATGTTTTTAAAAGGATAAGTCATAAAGTTCAAAATGGTCACGGTGACCTACTTTTAAGTTGACATTGTTCAAGGACCCAAGATGCATCAACTGACAAAGTTTGATGATCAAAGGCCTTAAAGTGTCCAAAATATGCCTTCAAATCAATTTGAAAACAAATCCCCCCAAAATTTAAAAAGTAGGTCACCATGACCTACTTTTGAGTTAACATGATGTGAAGTCGTAAGATGCATCAACTTACAAGAATTGATGATCCTAGTCCTTATAATAAGAAAAATATACACGTTTTTTATTAATTGTAAATTTAGGTCAACTTTGAAGTGACCTTGAGACCACGCCCTTTGCCCCAGGGTAATTCCCCATGCAAATTTTAATCTTCAACATATCCTGATCCTTGTTTGTAAGTTTGGTGAAAATCTGCCTGGTGGTTATGGAGAAGAAGATTTTTTAGCAACCAGTACTTTTGGTTTTATTTTCGTGATTATCTCCCCTTGTTTTAGGGTCCCACCCCTAATTTTAGTATAAATGGTAGCCCTTGGGCCAAGGATACCCTGTGACAAATTTGGTACTGATTGGCCAAGGGGTTCTTGAGTTATGGCCCATATTCTAAAAAGTTAACGCACACCGCACAAATGGCCATAGCATTAGCTCTTTGAGCCTTTGGCTCAGAAGAGCTAAAAATCTGAATATATAAAGCTGTGCGAGTC